AACTTAAAGTTGAGTGGGGGGGGGGGGGGGGGGGGGCCTGGCCCCGCGTCAAGAGACTAACGTTAATGGGTTCCCACACCCCTTTGAGGGGCATTACCCTGTTTCGGTCGCATTGGGTAGAGGTGGGGAATAAACAAACGAACAAAAAAATAAACGTACATAAAAGGCCCTTAGTCAAAAGCAACAGGTTTTTTGTCGGGAAACAGGCACAGCGTGGACCGGGGGGGGGGGGGGGGGGGGGGGATGCTCCATTTTCCTGGAACGATCGGTGGCCTTGCAGTTCGCTCAGTCCTACCACAACGTACTATAGCAAGGCACACACAACCAAGACAACAACATCAACCACAACCGACAGACGGCACAAAAAAAAAAACAAGCCGATCCCGTTGGTATGTGTCTGCATTCATCCACCCGTCTGCTGCCTTGATTGCCAACACATTTCCATGAATCGCGGCGAAACCCTCGGCTAGCGGGACTCACCCCTGCAGAGGCCAGAACGGTACCCCCCTCGCCAGATCATGACCGGGTGAATCACGACCACGAGCTACACCCAATAATGATGCCCATTGCAACGCCCCGCAATGTCCTTCCATCTAGATCGCCACGAAAACCTCGGCTACACAGCGAGACTCACCTCCGCTGAGGCCAGAAGGGTTTCAACCTCTCCGGGGAGGCCAGGCGGTGCGTATGCTACGTACGACTCCTTGAACGCCTCCTGGTAGTTGAGCTCCTTCTGGTAGTCCCGCGATGCTGCTTTCAGGCTGGCGTTGTATTTTACGGCGGCGCCACACGATTTTGGCCGCGGGGGGGGGAAATACTCGATCAATGCTGCTGCGATAGAACTGCGGCATTGTAGCTGGTAACGTGTAGAGATAAACACCGACAAAAAAAAATAAACGCACGCCCATAATCAATCCCTGGTAGATGGCATTTCAGAACTGCGAAAAAAAACAGCGAGTGCCCCTGCAATTCGTACCCCCCCTGGTAGTGTTCTTACTGCGGGGCACCATGCTGCTGAAAAAAACGGCGCCCTCAATAGCGGGGGGGTTTCCTTATACTCTTGTGTCCTTACAGGCGGTTACGAGTGGCCGCTGCACACGTGCCACGTTTTCAGCTATTCCGGACAAGGGTGTCATGTCGCGTTAGGTCGGCAGGTTAGCGCGGTCGATGCAAAACACACACACACACACACACACACACACACGGCCTCTGCAAGCACCTACTACCTCTGTTGGAACTCCTTTCTTTCTGGAAAAGCTTGGCAGCGAGCCCCCGTGGGCAGCCTTCCACTCGTCCATCTTGCGCACCAGGATGACGATCCACGGGGTGTGCCCGTGAAGAACATTTTCCTGAGACCTTCGGGGTTCCCAGGGGGACTTCGCAAAAGTGGTGGGGGGGGGGGGGGGGGGTCGTACTCATTTGTTGCTTGCCTTAGTCATTTGACCATTGACCACGCGCCCCTTTCGAGACGGAGCACCGTTCCTACACCTACTAGAGACACCACCAACATTTGGGAGCTCTTTACGTTTCTGCCACAAACTCCATAAAAATTTCTTGCACATCTTATCCCCGTCCTCTAGGGCCTCTTGTGCCCACCATCTATCCCCAATTATCGCGATCGTTTTTTCGCTGTTGTCTAATTTACCAAACTTGTCCATGTCACACCCTCTCTGTCTCATTTCCTCCTCGAGATCCTATCTTTCCTTCCTGTACAACTCACACTCCCCAACTATGTGGGA